TCGATTTGCCGATAAAAACATTTTAAACACTTGTAATAATAATATAAATTTGGAAGACAATTTTAAACAATACCGCAGCTGACATCCTGGGGGTAATCCCATATAAACGATCCAAGTAGTATTTTTAATACTAAAATTCGTAAATTATTTTTGACAGCCACTGGTAGATACCTCCGATTCAATTTTGATGAACAAATTTTGCATCTGTCGTTACATTGGAAAAAGAGGTGCCAATAGCCTTTAATAGCTTCTTAGGATTGTTTACATTCTTCTAGTCTAAGGCGTTGCAGTTAATATTGCATTCATTTACCTCGAACTCGTATGTTTCAGACTGCGCTTTGCCTAGTTTGAATAAAGAACCAAAGAAAGTAATCTGAAGCCAAAGGAAATATTTTTCACTTCGTAAATGAAAAAGTTTAGGTTTATTATAGTTATAGGGTTACTGTTTTTTCGGAATCGTTTATATGTATGTAAGTTGGGTCTTAACTGAAATAATTAATTAACAAGTTGTTTTTATGAATCGATTTGGAAAACAATCTCTGGTCGAATCGGTTATTTGAAATAGTTCCGACTTCTGTAAATTTTAACGTTAAAAACTAATTTTTTCCTTTTAGTAGGTGCAAGGCTTTCTAGAGGTAGACTGTAAGTCAATGTCAATGATTGTACGCTGTGGTGCTGAATAGACTGGTATGGTACAGATTTTTATGTATACTTCGTTTAGTTTCTCTAGCGATGTGACCTTTAGTTTGACCTGCACAAAGTAGAAAAGAACAGCACTAGGCCAGAAAAGAATGGAGACAACTCTTGGCCAAACTCTTAACCGGTGAGGAGTGTATAATCCGTACAGTACTGCACGGAAAAATTGACCATTTTATCCACTACAATTGCATTGCTCAAATGTGCTGTTATTGGTACCAATTACTACTGAAAATGTCAACGAGATGTTTATTTACATTTGAAGACATATTAAAGGCTTCAACACTTGTTTTCGACTCGCACTACTATTCATGATTGAACAAAACTTTTGGCAGGTACTGTATGAAAAAGTATGTTTAATGAACAAGAGTCGAGAGTATAATAAGCTTTTTTCTTCCTACTTACGATTTTGCCAGCGCGCATGCAAGACATTGGAAGGGGCACATCGCTAGAGAAAGTAAATGAAGTATAGTTATAAACGATAAAAACGTACACTAATTTAAACACTTTAATTATGCATAGATGAAATAATAAATGTAATAAACAATAAAAGCACGTGGTGATAGATATATATAGATTTTACATTAAAAATTAAGACATACAATCTATTTAGAGAAAACCTTGTATCAAAAGACGAAACGTCGCTGTTGGCTGTTATAAATAAAATGTTTGTTTCTTATTTTGGCTTTCATTCTTATAATCAGGGCATATGATTTCATTATCAGGGGCGTACTTAGGACGCTCAGCTGTTGTGTGTGGAAACCGATGTGCAAACACATAAAAAATGAAATTCGACATCCAACTTGGTGAGAACAGTTTAATAGTTCTTGGTGAGTAATTTAACGAGAATACCAGATTTGGATTGCAAGTTTGAACTTATTTGTTTTCATCAGCACATAACAGGCAGTCTCGATAAATTACCGACCTACCGAAGTTGTTCCGTAAAACCGAAACTATCGGATATCAGCAACAAAAATTTAACCGAAACCGTAACCAAACTGAAGCGGAATCTAAATTTTAAGGTAATTGTTTTTCTTCTCTAATTATATTACCAGATTATAACCTAGAAATAAAGAAAAATCGTTACCTATTTGTATTTTCCTTTTAAAGTTCCTTAAAAATCGAATATCAGTATCTCAAACTATTCGAAAACTATCGGATAATCCAAAATAATTTCATATCCATAACCGTATCTAAAACCGTCAAAATATTATTCATACATCCCTGCTACAGAGAGAATATCGCCATCTGCTAACTTTGTACTGGTGATTTATAACATCTATTATGTTTGTTATAGTGTTCACTAGTTTCCAAAACACTGTACTTATTATCTAGTAGCGCTTAAATAAAACTGAATAGCCAGCAATAATTCTGTTCAGGTGTTTCTGTTAGGTTGTGATGTTTGTCGTCAAAACGTACGTTTAATAGTACAGTCATTTAGTTCGAAAAATAGTGGTTACCTGGAATGTTTTACGGGAGTTTTGAAATTTGGTAATTTTATAGATTTTGATGTGCTCTTTCCGAATTTCGACTTTGCCACCTCGTATTTTTGCCGCTCGTGTCGCCATATTGGAAAAATGGCGCCAAGAAGCAGTGTTTTGACAATATCTCTTTTCCGACTCATTTTACGATAAAAACAGTTATATACAAAATGAAACTAGAAACAATTACCTACAATTTATGTATCTATCTTTTTTTCATAAAGTTAATAGTTTAGGCGTACGAGCGCCGCAAAGTGTACTCCAACACGCATTTTGGTCAAAAAACTCATTTCCACACCACCTTGAGGTAGAGTAAGCGGTGCGTTTTTTTTTAACGTGGTATCCCCCCATTTTTTATCAAATAGGCGACATAATTTTAACATGGATGATTTAAAAAAACATTTAGTTTTATATTGTTATAGTATGTCTGAAGATAACGTTCGTTGGTTTTTTTTGTAAGTTATGCTATTGTAATTTAAACAAATACAAGTGTTAACAGAATTTCTTTGTGTTTTATTTAAAATTTAAATGCATATAATAATGCATATTTTGACGATTCTTAAAGCATATTTGCATGCATATATTTGCTATTTTTTAGTGCATATATTCCGAACTCTACTGATGACTCAGACTAAATATTTCTATTCAGCTCTACCAAAACGCGCGTTGGAGTACACTTTGCGGCGCTCGTACGCCAAAACTATTGACTTTATGGAAAAAAGGTAGATACAAAAATTGTAGGCAATTGTCCCTAGTTTCATTTTATATCTAACTGTTTTTATCGTAAAATGAGTTGGAAAGGAGATATTGCCAAAAAACTACATTTAGGCGCCATTTTTCCAATATGGTGGTGCGAGCGGCAAATATACGAGGTGGCAAAGTTGAAATTCGGAATGAGCACCACAAAATCTATAAAATTACCAATTTTCAAAATTTCCGGAAAACTTTCCAGGCAAAACTACCAAATGACTGTACTATAAGGTTCATAAAAGAAAGAAATGCCCATTTTTGTGGAACGTTTCAATCGAAGCGATTGTCACGCTTTCATTTTGTACTTGAATTTTAGTTTTCCTTTATGTTTTGAAAATGTGCTTATTGTGTTTCCTCTATAATTTCCATGTAACATCTTGAAATTTTTCATTTATGTTACTTAACAATCAACTCAACTTTACATAAGAAGTTTAAAAAGGCTTAAATGGTACAAAAAAAATTGGGAAACACCACAGAGATGAGTAGGAAGTGTACTGCTATATCCTTCCATTCCGTTCCGAATCACTCTCCCACCACACAGCCGTTAGAGAGAAGTAGAGGAAGCTATCTATTTTTAAAAATATAGAATACATTATAACTAAATTTCTCTTGGAATTCACATTCTTCAGTGGCATAGGGGTTTTCACATGCCTGTATTAAAAATGCCTCTCTTAAAAATTTCTATTTATCCCACCAGATTGTTTTTTTTTTTAATTCTCGTCTACATCGCATTTCATTAAAATTGTTTCACAAAATTCACCCTGTGATAAAGGATCCTAAAGATGGAGATTCTGAACTTTGTTAAACTTATAGGCTAGGTACCTAAGTATGTAACTTTTCCGCGAACCGCGAGTGCAATCTTCTGGCCATCATTTTAAGTTAAAGTGAAGTTATCATTAAAGTATGTTTCCAAATAGTTGATTTATCAATCTTCATACTAAAAAGTCATAGCAAAAAAAGTGTTTGAGAGTTTTTATGTTAGTCAAGTTTTCGGAAAAATGATTGAAAACAATTTTCGAGACTTGATGGGTTCTGTTTTAAAAGAATGGTTTGACTAAATTAGTACAAAAAAGAAAATATTTATGACATAACAATAAATGTGAATTTTAGCACTTATTATTTGACTAGAGGTTTCGTACAAATCTCTTTTCTTCCTCAAATAGAATCTTTGCAATAATGGTAACTGATACAGTCGAAAAACAGTGTAATTTTTAATTTTTTCAGTTTCATGCTGTAAATGAACTGTTGTTGAAACCGAATTATTTTGGCTCCAAAGCCAATTATAATATAAAATAAACCATTAAAGAAAAACAAAGAAGGTTGCAATATAGAATCTTTGTTTAAAAAACTTCATATTGATTTTAATTACATAGATTTAAAAGTTAATAAGGAAGTTTAACATTACCTAATCCTCTAAAATATGATCAATTACAGTATTCGTAGTTGATAGTTTCATTAGAGAAACATTAAAGAAAACGAAAATTAAGAGAAAAAAAAATATTTTAAACGATCTGTGTACATAATTTATAAGGAAAGAAAAATTAATTATTCTATGAAATTACAAGTACTTACTTCTGATTTGAAAGCATATTTTCATGATATACCCAAATTTTTTAGAAACACATAATAATTTAATCAAATTGCTGTAAACAAAAGAAATACATGGCAACGATATCACTCAGAAAATGAGAAGTGCGTATATTAATCGAGCGCTTAATCAAATAAAATGAAGTGCAACATAAAATCTTTAGTAATACAAGTTTTATAAAATCGAGTTTAAAATAATTTTTTTCCTTTAGATTTTTATCATTTCTGAAGTGCACTTTTTAATTTTGTTTCATTCGTGCTTAAGACTTGCAATACAATACAAGAATGTTGCTATGACGACTGATGTAGGATTCATAATTTGAGAGGGATGAGACGATAATAGATCTTAAATTATCGGTCAGACCGTAAGCTGGGAACCCTCTTGTAATTCGCGCAGTCGCACATAAGAATGAGGAAGTCCGGCTCGGCTAAATTGACTCGACGTCGCCGACGCTGTACCGCCGAGCTAAAGCAGCGAACGAACAAAACCAAACTCAACGTGTTTCATATCTAGTTCGTATTTCGTATAGTTATATCGCTGACACGACCGGCGAGCCATATATACACATTACTCATTGCGTATATCGAGAGTTCCTCGCCGATACTTGCAACGCACCGGCCGCTGTTATGTTGTTCTTTTGATACATTGTTCAAGTTCGCTTTTATTTGTAACAGATAATAACAGTGCGGATCGTTATCTTATCGGGTTGTTTGTGTAGTTTGTTGTATATAATTGTAATTTGTGTTTTATTCATCATCCGTCCACACTGGTGACGAAACTAATTGATTTTTCAAGAAGCGATGTTGCAGGTACTTGCATACGTTTTGTAGGTTACGATTTTGTGACTATCGCTTTCAGTAGTAGCGTAGCCGACTTTACGATTTTATTATTCTGTCAATACTAACGTGGGAGTGCGTTCCTTTTATTTTGAACGAATAATGATGTCAGCGGAATTGGAATAACTAAAGGCGCCAACATGAAAATTTGTCGATTTTCTCACTGATAGTGAAATTGCAATATCATTCGTATTTTCTTTGTATAATGTTAGCACAAGTATAAAATTATCGTTTATTTTGGGTTTCCCTTATACTGTCGTGTCGTCTTGTTTTGATGGTGGTAATCGATATTTAAAGCTTTGCGTCTATTCTCTCACGTTACAGCTGAAGGTTCAAGGTTGAAGGATTTTGAAATTTAGGTTTAGATATCTAAGGGTAGAACAATACAAATTATATACTCGTCATCATTATTCAGATATTGTTAAATTTGTATCATTCAAATATTCTTAAAATTTGCTATCGTTACTAGGCAGGTGTTATTATGAAACGAAATTTTTCGATTTTGGATTGGTAATCGTTATTCTGGTTCTAAAATCTCTGAGAGTTTATATTTACACCTACCTAGCGTAAACAGATTGTGAGCCATGACATTGAAAACCAAGTTTATTTTATTAATTCCTTTGATCTTTCTGTTGCTAGTATAGTAATTTAAATCTATTTAGTTATGTCTAGTCCAAACTAAAACTATAAAAACCTTAAATGCTAGAAAGACATCCTATTTAAACCGCTACCAAAAACACGAATCGCGTTATAAAATTTTTGTTAGTTTTAATTTTTTATGTTCAGTATTTTTAATCGGTCAAAAAAAAAGAACTTGATGATCAAACACCCCTCTGAAATTGACATTTTTTTCTGTAAATTTGATCTCCGTTTTTCCAATTGTTATTGAGTAATTGATACTTCAAAATACAAACCTGATAATCCTTACAACTTTCCACTAATAAAAGTTGGACTAATATTGTAAAATCGAATAACAATATTGAAGCGGACATTTTCAAATTATTATTGTTGATTTTTTTATGACAAAAATTTTTTTTTACGACTTTGGAACCAATGGTGAGCTAACGAGGAAAATACGTGGACTATCTACATGCAGATTTATTGGTTCAAGATTTGCGGTCGCAATTTTCCATTTTTAAATGTATAAATATTTGCTTATAGCTTGATTTGAATATTCATATTATCCGATATTTGAATAGGCATGTATTTGTAAATGCACAAGTATTTGAACAATCAAATATTCAATAGTTACATATTTGAATATCCAAATATTGAATCAAACATTTGAATAGCTGAATTCTTCATATACATACATACAAGATTATTCACGTTACACGACACGAAAGATTACGTTCTTAGATTTTTAAAAAGTTTTGTTGTGATAGAAATCCAGACATGTGATTTATTTGAAATACTTGCATTTAAAATACTATTTGTAAAATGCAAAATACATTTTTGTCGTTAAAAGTTTTGCTTCTCACTCATCAAACATTATATAAAATGATGAATGAAAGTTGCTCACATTGGCCATTGAAGGTATTAGAAATTTAAAAGGGGTCAAAGAGACATTCCATGAATGTCTTCTAATTCTTTAATTGAAGAGAGCCCAAAAAATTCTAAATTATTTGGGAATGGATAATATAAAATATTGATCGACTTATCGTACCTTTAGCAGGAACTACGAAATTCTAGGAATTACGACAAAACAGCCCGCAAAACTATATCGAATTGATATACGTCAGCTGTGTAAAACTGAAAACTACAAGATATTGTGGTGTGCTAATAAATGCGTATAATCCAAAATTCTTAGAAAATGATTCGAAAAACTTCACTTATTAGATGAACCCAAAGCTAAAGAAACTATGAATTCCATTTGTTTCTGTTATTACAATGTGTAAAAGATCCGAAACAAAATGGGGTTGTAAATATTTTGATATAAAATGATTGATGTTGATTTTACATCAATAAAATTATTTGCAACCCTATTTTGACTCTGATCTTTCACGGTAAACAAACTATTTTCCAATTAAAACGGGTGATAAAGGCAAATAAGGAATAATATAGAAGAGTTATTTGTTGCTGAAATGAATAAACAATAGCATAAATATAGAAAAACTATATGTCAATCGCTTCAAACAGAAAAATATGAATCATACTCAATCTTCGCAGCTGGTGATATAGTGCAAACACCACTATTAGCCTAGAAAAACTCCAATATTTAAAAAAATGAGAAAATGCCTCCAAGGTTTTTTATTTTATACTTAAGTAAATGTAGAAAATTAAATGAGTACTACAAAAAGTATTTATTTGAAAAAAGTATTTTGAAAATACGTACTTCGCAGTCAGCATTCAAAATACAAAAGGGGAGTCTATTTTGTATTTTACATTTGAAATAACAAATCAAAAAACAAAAACATTTTGCATATCTCTAATTGACAGCATATGGGAAACGTTTTTATTATTAATTTTACGATAAAAAGTTACTCTTTATAAAAAGTCCTGCATGGTCTACAACACTTAATGACATCATCAGACTTAATAATTTTTCAGTCATATACAAGTTTTGACATAAAGCATGAGATTTGTGCAGCAATAAAGTACCTTTATTTTTGAAAGTACTAAAAACGGTTATAAAGAAAAGTTGTTGAGAATTACCAAATCTATAGTTACAAGTGTGTAACCATATCTATCAATTACTAAATTATGATTTTGTATATTTCTTCACTCTTGCCCCTATGATTGAATACTTACGCATGCACATTAACAATAATACAATTCTGGTCAAAGTTGCCGTGTAAATGATACGTTTGTCAGTCAGCCCCCAAGTAGTATTAGCCCAGGGCCCCACAAATTCACGCTTCGCTTCTAAATATTGGAAAATGAAGATGACTCGACACAAAATCTGAAGAGTCCGATTGAATGACGTATCCAAAATGAATCCAAGATTCACTACATTCGGTGAAATATTTGTCTATATTGACATATAGTACATTCAGAAATCTTATATTAGTTTGTCAAGTAGCAATTTTATATTCAAACGTCTTCTATTCTTATCATTCAAATATTCTTAAAATTTGCTATCGTTACTAGGCAGGTGTTATTATGAAACGAAATTTTTCGATTTTGGATTGGTAATCGTTATTCTGGTTCTAAAATCTCTGAGAGTTTATATTTACACCTACCTAGCGTAAACAGATTGTGAGCCATGACATTGAAAACCAAGTTTATTTTATTAATTCCTTTGATCTTTCTGTTGCTAGTATAGTAATTTAAATCTATTTAGTTATGTCTNTTCCCTAAAACTAGAACAACTCACATCCGTAACTATTTGCGAACAGTAATCTAATCTAGGTCTACTTCTACCTCTCCTAACTCCTGTTTCTGCCTCTAATCTGTATCTGACTAGACCTTCATGCTTGAGAAGGTGTCCTACCAACGTATCTCGCCTATTTCTTATTGACTTTCATAGAGTCCTCTGTTCTCCTATTCTTTCTAATAAATCTTCATTTCTAACCTTCTCTATCCACGTTATCCTCATCATTCGTCTATTTAAAACCACATTTCGAAGGTTTCTAACCTTTTCTTTTCCGCCGCGCCCATTGTTCATGTTTCGCACCCGTACAGCGCCGCGCTCCAAACATGCAACTTTAACAACTTTTTTCGAATTTCTAAATTAATCATTCGCGAGCATAGAAGTGACTTCTTTTTATTAAAGGCGACACGACCCTGCGCGATTCGCTGCTTTATATCGCTACTACTCCTTCCGTCCTGACTTATCTGACTTCCTAAATATCTAAAATCAGCCACTTCTTCTAATTTTTCGCCTCCTATCTTTATATTCGCTCTTTGCCTACTTTTTATTCTCTTGCATACCAGTATTTTAGTTTTACTTTTATTTATTTTCATACAGTACTGATCTGTCAGTACCGCTTCAATCAATCAATTGAGGTATTGTTTTTTTTTCTTGCAATTATAAATTTAAACAACTAATTCCTATAGAAATTCTGCAAGCAACACTAAATCCATCGGCCAAGCTTCACAATCAAAATTTGCAAATTTTTTGTTTATTGAAAAGAATTGAGATCGTTTTTAGCCGGCCGTGATCAATCAAGAATCGCTTTGCGATCGAGATTGCCGTATTGGTCATACTATAGATTCGGGAGGGCACCGGTTTGATTCTGGTTTGCCCTGCCAAGCTTTTCTGTGGTTTCCTGTTTCCTGGAATCACTTACCATTAGTCAGTTGGTGGGGCAGTAATATTCCATGGATAAACTGTTTGCTTATATCTGTCTATCTTCATTTCTACATTCTATTTTTAATTAAAAATTACTAGTTTTGATGTGTCCAGCGCTAGTAAATGTCAATATTTGGTCTGCTGCGGTCGGTCGTCGGGTCATAGGTATTGGAAGGGATGGTAGTGGTTGTGCCTTAACGCCCGATGACGAAAGCGTTAGATGAAATTAGATTACATTAGGCAAAAGAAACGAAAGGCTTAGTCCAGTGATTCCTAACCTTTTTTAATATTGTTACTCCTGTGACCAATTAAGAAAACTGATTTTACCCTGACCTTTAAATGTTATCAATACAAACAAATACAAATATTTTTAATAATCACAAATTGCACATCAGTATTATAATATTATATACCTAAACAATAAATTAAGTAAAAATAGTTAGTGTAATGGTTGGTATTATTATGTATAATTTAGTTTTTTTATGTAAGCTTTAATTTCGCTTAAAGAGTATCCTAAATCATGTTTCACATTTAGAAGAATTCTGGTCTTTTTTTTCAGTGTAACTAAAGTTGGGAAACCACTCTCACATCTATAGGTGCTGGCAAAGGGTATTAACATTTTTAAAGCTCTGTTAGAGCTAGAGCAGGATATTCAGCACTAGCTTTTCTACGTCTACGTTTTTAATAATGTTATCATCCATAGTAAATCGTCTCAATATCCAAGAACTGGACTGACGAT